TCTCTCTCTCTCTCTCTCTCTCTCTCTCTCTCTCTCTCTCTCTCTCTCTCTCTCTCCATTAATTTATTTTTTCTCTCTCTCTCTCTCCACTAAGTTATTTCTCTCTCTCTCTCTCTCTCCATTAATTTATTTTTCTCTCTCTCTCCATTAATTTATATATCTCTCTCTCCATTAATTAATTTTTTTTCTTTCTCTCTCTCTTTCTCTCTCCATTAATTTATATCTCTCTCTCTCCATTAATTTATATATCTCTCTCTCTCCATTAATTTATTTCTCTCTCTTCCTCTCTCTCTCCCCCTCTGTCTCTCTGTCTCTCTCTCTGTCTCTCTCTCTGTCTCTCTGTGTGTGTATTATGAACATACAGGAACAGTGTTTTCAGAACACAGGACATCACAGGGTAGACTGGCCTCAGTCCTCACAAGGGATTATTCTGCCCTGTATATAATATTTAATCTCTAAATCTAAGTGGCACTTTTATCTCCTGCCCTCTTGAAGTCACTCTCATGGGTGTTGTTGACCCAAGGGGAGCCCCAGGGTCTGGCGATGGCTGGCTGGCTGGTGGTTCCTGGGGAGTCACCATGTCTCTAGTTGTACAGTCCTGCTGTGGTGTAGCTGGAACAGTGTGTTGCTCATTAGTATCAGCTGTCCCTGGGACCGCCTGAAGGTGTCGTCAGTTTCGGCAGGTCACATTCCCGTTGGCCATCTCCACCAAGTAGGATCTTGGCTTTCTGGACTTACTGATGTCTTTGGCTGCTGTTGTCTATCCTTGGTCTCCATCAAGCTTCACTTTAACCTTCTGACCTGGGTGCAGCTCAGAGAGTTGACGAGCTGAACGTCTTCGGTTGTAAAATAATTTATAAGCGTCTTTAGCTGCAGCATCCTTTTGATACACCATGTCCTGATTGGCTGGACAGGGCAACAATATATTTTCTAGAGCTGGGACAGTGGTGCAGATTTGGCATCCTGTCATAAGCTGAGCTGGACTCTTGCCAGTTGCTGTGATTGGTGTAGAGTGTAGTGGAACACCACCTCATCTTAAAAACAGATACAGTTCACCTCATCTCAAACAGATATCATTCATGCGTTTTGGGTTTTGAACTGTTTAAAATAAGATGCATTTATTCCCTTGGGAACAAACAGACTTTATTTTTACAGGGGTTCAACTCAGCTTTGTCACTGTTAACCACTTTCAATATGAACTCATTTCCCATGAAACGAACAGATCGTTTTAATGAGAGCTTGTGGTTCAACGACCTTGAAGTGAAACATCTGCTGAGATGAACTTTTATCAACAAAAACAAGGAGTATTACTCCCAGGATGGTTTCCCATGCAGATAACACATGAAACAAGCCCTTTGTTTAAATTACGTTTTCTCTCCAGGAGATGAACAGCGACACCATTTGGATGAACATTGCATGTTATTTCAAAAGCTTCAGAACTGAATGTGTAGTGAACAAGGCCTCCGACCAAAACCTGTCTCTGAGGACCTTCATGAGACAGGAACTGTTATTTCATTGATTTGAATCCAGAAATACAAATTAGCTCATCCAGAGACTGTCTAATTGTATCCTGAATTAATCAATTGAAAGAACACTTTTCTTTTTATGTTATCATTACTATTTCACAATATCTTGATAATCAAAAGTGTGTTTAGTTCATACCATTTCTAAATGTTGAAAGTAAACCACTCATTTAAATCAACTGTGAAACAGTATTGATGATTTTTTTAAACCCCATTTAAATTAGAAATCAAGTTAAATGTCTATTTACAAAGTAATTAAGCATTTTGATTATCTGTCTGAATGAGAAGTCAGTGATGTCGGTCAAAAGTCAGAGACAGTCAGAAAACAAGTTATTAGAACGAGGTGTCTTGTTTTTAAACCTAGCTGACGGTAAAAAGAAACAACTGGCATCTGCGTTTGTTTCACTTCGCCATAACATTGCTCTATCTGTACTAAACGTTCCTAAACATTCCTATGACATCACTAGAACCACCCCCTGTTGGTTGTTTCAACCAATCAGGAAGTACTAAGTGACCGGAAGTGAGGACTCTTTAAAAGTCAGCACTTCCTGGAACTAGTCAGTCTTTGATCTGAGTCTTCTCGACTCTTCAGTCTTTGATCTGAGTCTTCTTGGGTCTTTCATGGAGTCTTCTGGGAGTATTCCACTTCTGAGTGGGATCTCTGACGGAGTCACAGCGCCCCACTGTGAACTCACCCAGGCGTAACGCCTACAACTTCGAAGGGAGCTTGTTCTGTTTGACGGAGTAAACCACATGACTTCTGACAATGACCAGCTGCTTTAACCGGAGACGCTGGAAAGGTAGCGTTGAAATGGACCCGGTACCGGAGCTGATTCATCTTCTGCGAAGGTAACGAGTCGTCACGCACTAAGTGTACCGGAGGTTTGAGCTGGTGTTGAAAGAAGCGTGCTAATTCTGGTCAACAAAACAAACATCTTTCCTTCATCCATCTTCCTCTAAATCTCTCCTCCTGTAAATCTTTTCGCCAGTAAAACAATCTAGATGCCTTCAGAAATGTTCTGTTGTCTTGTTAGTAAAGCGTGCCAAGTTTAATTAATCAGAACCAGATCAGCAAATCTATGTGTACATGTTTGATGTTAAATTTTGATTCTGTTAAATAAATGACTGCATTTATTCTGATGGGTCAAAGAAAATGGCATCTCATGTCACTGATTAAACAATGAACACAGTTATCTTGGTCACATGGCATTAATTTAACTCGAAAAAGAAAGAACCCGTTGTATTTAAATTTTTAGTAGTGAAGCGACAGCAAAGGCTGACCCCCACCTTTCACTACATTTTGGTGGCCCGACAGGTTTCTAAAGAGATATAATTATGTGTGACACGAGATCTGTGTTGTTGCAAAATAACGTCATGTTGGCATAAAAAAGTCAGAGTTTTGAACTTGGTACAGGCATAATTCATGCTTTTGGTGGTCAGAAAGCTGTATTTA